GCAGCCGCCCGCAGGTTGGTTGTTGGCAGCAGGGCAGGTCCGCACCGCAGCGGGGAAGGGGCTCCATGTCCGGACAACGTCCCTGCGCCGTGCCCGCGGCACTGCAGCAAGGCTTCGGTCCGCCCGCACCTCCCAGGAGACCCGCTGGGGAGGAGGCGGCTCTTTTCCTTACTACCGGGACAAACCAAACTCTCAGCGCTGAGCTGTTCTGGATTTGGCGGTAAACCTGCTAGAACAGGGGTTGTGGCAAAAGTAACCTGTTGGCTTAAGTCGCTTTCGTAGATATCCAAAACATACACGAGAGGATGCAACTCAGAATGAAGCGCAACATGGGCTCAGTGTAAGGAACCCAATCCAGACCCTCACCTCAGCATCTAACCGAGCAGCACATTATTGCCCATAACCATACCGGGAGCCCAAACACGGCTGTTAAGTAGTGTACAAGGCGAGGAAGGGAGGAGGAGGTGCTACACCAGGTGCACATTAAATGAGCGATCTCAGTAAGAAATAAAAGAACACCCCAGGTCTGTCCGGGCCCTGCCGAGAAGGGCACTGCTGCAGCATGTCTGCAATAGCTGGAGTATCTTCCACAGGGCAAAGAAATTCAAGGTTTTACAAAATAAACGTTCTTGATGCTTTCCTTATTTAGGACATCGACGGTGTTGGGCATAAGTATCATCTGGAATTGGTGCTGGAAGACGTCCTTGACAGAGTGAGTTCAGATTTATTTCATGAATACATTCTGTGGGCGCAATATTGATGTGTAACAAAAAGCCATCGCTTTGTGCTGCTGATCCTAGCTGAGGGCAGTGGACAGACCAGTTAATAACACTTGATACCATGTTTTGGATTTTCCTATACTGCAAATCAGGCAAAAAAAAAAAAAAAAAAAAAAAAAGGCTCAGTTTTACCAAAATTCCATCATTTCTCACACCGTAACAGCCCCGAACATCTGGTGCCTACCACTGTGACACAAGAAAACGCCCGAGGGATGACAAGGACTTTTCAGTGTCATTCAGTTTCAAACTGAAGTCATCTGAACCCATTACTCCAACTGAACAGCACAAGTGACATTCTGCACCTCAAACACTGCCCGTTCTATCACTGCAGGAAGTAATTTTAGATTGCAGCGTATTCACAGAAATACTATGAATTTAACCTTGTCTTAAATAATCACAAGCCTCTACGGGCCAGGCTCAGAGAAAACTACATAAAGAAAAAAAAATAATTTTAGAAGTGCAAGTTACCAATATTATACATGTATCTAATTAACCATTAATACACGTAATTAACTCTGTAACAGGACGCTACTGTTAACTGCACTGCTGAGGTTCTTTATCATCTGGGCAACCAAAACATTGCTCCAGATGTGCAGTTCACACTGGAAGGAGAACTTAAGAACACCGATGACGCAGACAACATATTCTACAATCGAATCAAGAGCCTGGAAAAAGAGCTCGTGGCAGAAAACATACCAGGTACAAAGAAGGGGTTTGGGCGAGAAGGGAATTTTTGAGACCGTATCTTCCGTGGCCAGAAGCAAACCTGAGCTCAGCTGGTGGTGGCCCACGATCCACATGGGAGCCCCCGCTCCAGAGGCCCGGACCGAGGGGGATCAGGCCGTTGGCCCTGCTCTGCACACGTGCTGCTGCACCCCCTCCCGTGCAGGCGGGGCGTCAGTCACCGCGCTACTACATTGAGTCGTCACGTCTGAAATCCAGAACAGAGACGCCACGTGCACGTGGCTGTTCTTGGAAACCACCCGCTGCTGTTGCCTCTCCCTGTGCCAGCGTCCTGCCCGCTGTCTGTGGCTGTCCTTGGGCGTCACTGCAGCGCGAGGGTCTGCTCTTACTTCAGAGCAACCCCTGCCTTGAAGGCCTTACATGTTAAGGGAAGCAGCGGGAGGCAAACACAGTGCTGATGTAGCAGCTCTTCCAAGGTTACAGGGAAGATCTGTGACACAGCAAGGAACGTAAGGGAGCGGCTTTAGCACCAAACCCTACTATTAGGTGATAGGGCTCTGTTCACGGCTGCAGCTCCCTGGGTCTGGCTTACTGTATATCGTTCCTTCTGTTTGCCAGACAGCCACGGCAACGTGTCCCCAGAGATGGAGCCCATCCGCCTGCTAGCGTGGGTCGCCTCTGGCTACGTGATATGGCAGAACTCGACGGAAAACACAAAGTTCCAACTTGCCCAGATCAAACGCGTGAAGCAAGTGGTAAGTTACCAGCAGTGCCCTGCAAGAAAACCACTACCTAGGAGCTAAGCAGTTGTGCATGTACGGGACCACAGCTGAAGCCAAGCTCTTAAGCAAGAAACCTCAACTGTGTCTGAACTTCTTGGCCTGGTTTGTTTTCAAGCCAGCGTTTGGGTTTTGTTCCACCCGCCTCTTTCCTCTAGCAAAGCCTGAATGCCTGAGTGTTTATTTAGATCACCCCTCCTCTTCATAAATTTGGCTTATAGAAGCCATGTCTTCTTGGCAAGAGCAGCATTCACGCTGATTCAGTTACGGAAACTGACCCTTCCCCTTGGAGGTCATCACGTTGACCAGAGTTTTGTGTTACTTTCCCGCCTTTCACTCGTAGTGCGGGCCCAGCTGACGGAACTCTTGCATCTGACCTCCATCTCCTGAGCTGCGCCGCGAGCCAGCGCCCAGGCACCGTGACGCTGCCTGGCAGCTCCGCGAGAGCCGTGTCCGGACACGCAGCAACGGGCTGCACCTCAAACCCAAACACAGTCTGCATCGCTCTTGTCTGCAGCACGGCAGCCCCCCTGCATGTGGCAGCTCACCTCAAAAGGCTAATGAAGAAAGAAAATACTGACGCAGTTCCACTCTCATGATTAGCTTTTTTTACTTTGGTTCCTCCCAAACTTACTGTTACTCATTTTTAATTATTTGGTGGGGGGAACCTAAAATTAATCTTTACTTGAGCTCTTAGACCTACATCAGCACGATGAGCACCAATTATGTTTACGATAAGAAAACTGAATTCAGGAAGACGTGTCACAAGACAGAAAGGGAACAGAATAGTTCAGGACAAAATATTTCCTATTTTTTGCTTGTTTCTGAGTGATCTGTTCATCTTGAGCAGATCTGGATCTGCCCTAAGCTAAGAAATAAATACGACTGGCAGATCTCACCGCAGCTATTCAAATTAATCGAGGCATTAGCTGCCACTATCAACAGGCCTTGCAAGCTTAACTGATAATGCTTTCAGAAAAGTTATTATCAGGGCAAAATTTTTGGTTTTGTTTCTAAATTAATACAATTCTATAGATTCTCCCAGTTCTTCTCTATTTGGAGAAAATACACTCCAGAGTAACTCCTAAAGGGATGGTCAGGTTTAAATTCAAGGGAATTTCGCACGCAAGCTAGGATAAAGCAGCAGGGCTTCGTATTTACAAAACCCAATGTACTGGGAGTCTTCAGAGCAGGGCCCAGATGTTTTGCCACTCAGAACAGCCGGTGAATTCCCATGAAGTTCTGGGTAAGAAGGAAAGGCAGAAACTCATTCTGGGAGCACGATTTGTTGACGTTTTGCTCCCTCTGATGGCTACCCGAAAGCAGCTCAGGGATGCTGCAGGGCTGCGTGCGAGCAACGTTTTAAAATCCTCTTTAACAGACCAGATGAATTTAAGGATAAGGCAGACAGAAGACTTAAACTAAACCTGCTGCTGTCTCCCTCTGGTAATTCTCATTCCTTTTTTCCCCTGAAAAATAGCTATATCAAGAGTATGTTCCAAAGGCTAGTGCATATTCTGTCGCCCACAGAGTCACTGGTAACTTGTTATCCACTGTAAGGCCTCTGGAGTGTGTTCCAAGTCTCATCCTGTTGCAAATTTTATTTAGGATTATTCGGGTTAAATTGACACCTTGTAGAATCAGGTGTTCCCTTCCCAAATGAGTTCCTGAAGCTGAGATCTATCTAGCTGCTTTAAGGGAGGAATTAGCACAGTTTTAAGTTTCGCATTCAGTCTCTCAAACACAAATTTGGAGTTCACAGAAATACAAAACAGTATCTTTCTGTTTTGCTACAGTGACTAAGCTCCATCTGCTTTATTCGTTAACAAGAGCTGCCAGTTTCGTCTGAAATAGAGACTTTTCATCCTAACCAAAGAGAACTGATTCACTTCTTTTAAGATGGGGGGAAGCCTCAAACTCAGCCCTTTTCATCTTGTCTTTCCAGAAAAGAAGCGATGAATATCTTGAATTTGACTACATGATTCTGCTTCACGAAATGGTGTCCCAGGTAAAGTCTTATTTCCAAAAAGCCTTTTTTTTTGTTTGTTTGTTTTAAGGCCACCAACTGTGTAACCTCCAAAGACAAGCAGAAGGTGGGGCCTCCCCAGGTCAGCTAGCACACGGGGTGAGGTCGGGGCAAGGACCGCCCCTGTGTCTCAGCGTTATCAGCTCCTGCCCCTGTGCCGGCAGGAGACCACAGGTCTCCCACTTCAGTCAGCAGAGAGTCATTTTCAGCTATTTCTGGGCCTTCTTGGGAATGGCTGAGGTTCGATATACCGGTCATTCCCAGATCTCTCCTCTTGGGAGATACGATTGCCAAACTGGCGAGGGATAAAGGGAAGAAGCAGGTGCCAGCGCCCCGGAGAGCTGAGCTGCCTTCCAGCTGGAGCCGCAGAGTGCCTCCAGTACAGCAGCGGTGCACCAGTACACAGAGGCACCGTCTACCCCAGTAGCTCTCAGAAGAAAGGAACTTTGGTTCCCAGAACAGTATTTACATTCTATGTTACTCTCCATCCTAATTTTGCGATCTGAGCAACCGTTTTCGTAAGAAAAGCACAGAAAAAAATTGACAAAATGTTAAACCAGCTCTGGGTTGTGCAACCTCCTGTCATAAACCATTTGCTGATAACAACTAAAGAGATCTCACTCCCACTTCTAGCCCCACTGCTTCCTACCCCACTGCACGCTCAGTTACGTTGCAGCCTCCACAGTAGTTTTAGTTCCCACGTTTCCCATGAAGAAAAACTCCTGAGAAGCAGCAGCTGCCCAGCTGCAGAACAGCAGCACCGGTTCTTCACCGTGCTCCGTTCGGCGAAGGGCAGGTGCCCCCAAGTATCAAAAGCATCAACAGCAGGAGGGGTAAGCCAACATCCATATGCTTGAGCTGCACAACTTGCCCAGATGAAGGAAAAACCGCAGTTGCAGCAGCATGGAGCCCAAGGCAGGCCGCAGAAAGCTCGCAGGAGAGCCTCAGGCCACAGGACTGCACGCTACAGCGCGTGCCCTGCACTGCCACTGCCGCCTGAGCAACCTCCTCGTCGTCAGCCCACGTACGGCTGCGGGACAGCCGGCAGCTCCCGTTCACTATTTCCGGGAAAATACCTTCTCACTTCCTACAGTTTTATTTTCTACCCGCAGGAGGTCATTCCCTGGCAAATGACAGTTCTCTGGCGCCCACAGCACGGCGTTCAGGTCACGCAGGACAGCCGACAGCCGCGCCACGGAGCAGAACAACGCACCGCCTGACGCTGCGCTGGAAGGAGCTCCGATGCTGCAACGAGCATCTGAAGGGAGGGCAGACAAGCTGGTGAGGGTGGCTGTGCCACCACGGGACGCAGAAAGAAGTCCTTCCTCAGGGAAACTTCCTCCTGTACACTGTGCTTTGACCCGGTAAGCCAAAAGGCACTTTCTCTGCTACCTAATTCAATTCTGCAGCAAAATTAATTTTAAAGAAGCCTCTGTTACCAGAAGGAACACTTACGGCACAGGTGCGGAGATGTTCTCCCTGAAGGCAACTTTTGGCTTTCCCATGGTGCAAGGACAACCGTATTCTCTTTCCATTCGCTGCGGAAAAACAAAAAAAAAACCCAGGAAAGCGGGATGAGATACAGAGCTGCTCCACTGGAGCGATAGGTTGGAAATTGGTTTATTTACAGGCTTTTCTGAAATGAGAAACTTAATCAGGGTTAACCGGATTTTTGGTTTGGGGTTGGATTAATTTTTGGGGTCTTGGTGAGGGCTTTTTTTTGTTGTTGCGGGTTCGTCTGGTTTTTTTTTTCAAATGCTGCAAATTATTCGCTGTCATTCTGCAGTCCTTGTTTAGGGGCTATCGCTTTAGACACAGCAAAAGGGAACAGCAGTCATTATTTTAGTCAAGTTTAAGTTTTCCAAAACAAAAGCCATCTTTTCTTCACTCTGTCAACATTTCAGATACATCTGTTGTGTTAGATTAAAATAAAGTACGGACACGATTGAAAAGAAACAAATAAATCACTGCAAGTAACTATTCCCTCCTGCCTGCACCATCTCTTATTATGGAATGACACCCCTAAAAACACAGAAACAATATTTCTTTCCCGTAGGAAATGGCTGACGGCAAAATTCATTACAAGCAAAGGCTGCTAAAGCAAAGCACAGTGCTTAATACAACGTTTTTTTCATGGCTTTGAACCAAAAGGTAAAACTATTCCAGGCAGAAGTTTCATTTCAAAGGATTACAAGCCTTCCAAACAGAACCGCTGGAGAGAAAGAATCTTCACAATTTAACTAAGAAGCCAGGCTCTTCCCTCAGCGGCTCACGTTAATGCCACAGTGCTTTCTGCTGGGAAGACCTCAGAACGGTTGTCACACGACAACCTTGATCTACACAAAAGCCAAGCGGAGTCGTGCACCTCCAGATGTCCTGTGAACTTGGCGTGCGCTTGGTCACCCCCACTACAAAACCGGGCGTAAAGGCTGGCATCAGTCAGCCCATCTGCAGGTAGATCTTGGTCTCAGGCACAAAGGAAGGAGAATTCTCAGTTGGGAAAACAAGTCAGAAGCAGAGCCCATGGAATCTGCTTTCCAAATTACCTGGGCATAGATTTCCAAGTGCAGTTCCCCCATTCCCGAAACAATGGTCTCTTTGCTCTCGTCATCAAAATGGATTCTGAAAGTCGGATCTTCCCTTGTAAAGCGGTTC